TGATAGAGTGTACCTCTTTGCCAGATTTGACCAAGTTATCCTGTTCACCTTTTGCTACAGATTTGTTTCCGGCAAAAGATATTTTCCAGAATTCCAGCCTGTGTATCTCTATAAACCTGGTTCGCGGCACAATTCAAGTATAATGTCTTTCTGGACAAAATTTGCTCACTTCCACTCATTTTTGCAGCCCGTCCCGAACCGAACCTTTGTTTTCCTGCCCAAGCTGAGACTCGCATGCTCTCCAGATAATTTCTGCCTTTTCAGTGGTTATTGAAGGTAGTTACCATCTTTTCGCTACAATTTCTTCATACATTCTGAATAGAGCGAGCGTTTCGAGAATATTTGATGCCAGGTGTCGCGAACAGCAGTATCTTCTCCAAGCTCGATGTTCCTTGCCAAGATAGCTCTTCTGGTTGTCCGCTCCAAAGAATTTATACTAAAGAAATACAGTTCTAGGCCGACAGAGTGGCCTGTAATAACAGTAGTAGCCTAAGTTCCTTAATTGGGCGCAATACGTCGGCCTTCCTTTGATTGTTTGACGAATGCAGCTCCTGGGCTCCTTCTTCACTTCGTTTTGGCGAGCACGGTCCGTCGGCTCGTTCGATTCCTCGAGCTCTGTGCCGGCTGTCGTAGTCCTCGCCGCCGCTCGTCGTTGTCGTTTCCTCGCCAAATGAGGAGGCTGGCCGAACGGCTTCGTTGTTGCTCTTCGCCGCTTCCGTCGCCGCCATACAGAAACAAAGATAAAGTGCACATGTACCTTATACGCACAAACATACAAAAAACATACATTTTTGAATTTGAAATAAAGTGCATGAATCATGCTTCTCGAGAAGTTGCATCTTCTCGACACCAGGAGTTCATTAGTTCTTCGAACCAACTTACCACTTATTTCCGCTTGTACATGCACAAGCACAGTAAAAGTGAAACCCAAGCTGTAACGCACCAGGTGGGCCGTGCGATTATGCGTTTTTGCACTTTTCGTGCCGTAACAAGATTCTTGCTCCCGGGTTAGTGATTTCTCCACCGAAACTTCCACGACTTGTACGTAAGGTCTAGGCAGTCCTGGGCAACTGAATTTGAAATCTTTTTGTCATACACCGGTAGGGAACATTCTCCTAAGGTTTCAGCTTTCTAGCTTTTCTCGTTCCCGAGTTAGCAGTTCCCCCTCAAAACTTTAACGTGCTTGTACGCGGGACCCGAACGTGCGTGAGGGTTGATACCGCAGTCCTGGGGTGGCACATGGCTGGGGAACACACCAGCAAAATTTCAGCTTCAAAGCCTGCATGGTTGGCGAGTTGAAATACAGGGACAGACGAACACCACACAAATATACACACAAACCCAGACAGGGTCGTTGCAATATGCGTTTTTACTGTCTGTTGCAGCGCTCTAGAGATGCACGGCAAAAACGCATAATAAATGATTTCCGTTGAGCGGTCGTTCTTTGAAAATGATCTGGCTGTTCTAGTTTTCGGGCTAACAATTTTTCTGTCAGAAATTCTACGCATCCGTTGTGAGAAAAATGTTTGCCTTGGAGCAGAATTTGAAATCTCCAAGTTGTACGTGGACAGGAAACATCATCTAAAAACTTCAGCTTCCCAGCTTTTCTCGCCCCTAAGTCAGGAATTTTCTGGCTAAAACTTTTTCGTCCCCGCATGCGAGTTCAGACGTGCAGGAAAGTTGGCGCCGTATTCTTGGGGTGGCGCTAGATCGGGAAACCTGCTGGCAAGATTTCAGCATCAATGCTTGCCCAAGTTGAAACACTCGGCTAGACGCACAAACACCCTTCCGAACTTGCTACAGCACGAAGCAGTGCAAAAACACATGATCACATCGGCTGGTCTAATGCATTCCAGCCTGGGTTGCATTTGAATACATGATTATGCGTTTTTGCATATATACAAATGCGAAAACGCATATTGCGATGACCCCCATGTATGTGTGTGTCTTTGTATGTGTGTGTATGTGTGTGCACGTGTGTGTCTGCGTGCGTGTGTGTGTACGTGTGTGTGTGCAGATATTTTAACTCGACACCGAAGCTAGCTCCGGCACCTAAATTTCATCGGTGGCCAAGTGCCACCCCAGGACCGCGGTACCAACTTTCACGCAAGTCTGGGCCACGCGTACGAGAGGGTCAAAGTTTTGGCGGGAAAGTCGGCAACTCAGGAACCCGAAAAGCTAGAAAGCTGGAATTTCGAGGTTATGTTTCCCGTCCATATGGAACTCAAATATTTCAAATTCAGCCCCCAGGCATGCGTGTTGCCCGCTTGTGGCTCCGTGAGGGTCCTGGCGCGAAAATCGCTAACTTGGGGACCAGGAATTTTGGGAGGCTGAAATTTTCAGGGAGTGTTTCCAGCACGTGTACAACTTAAAGTCATCGAACTCAGGCTCCAGGCATGCATAGTTCTCACGTGCGGCCCCGTTAAATTTTTTGGCGAGAAAAATGGCTAACCCCAGGAGCAAGAAAAGCTAGTAAGCTGAAATTTTCAGGTAATGTTCCCAGCACATGTGCAACTTAAAGTTATCGAATTCATTCCCCAGACATACGTTTTTATCACGTAAAGCCCCGTAAAATTTTTTGGCGGGAAAGGGACTAGCTTGGGATCCAGGAAGCTGGGAGGCTAAAGTTTTCAGGAAATGTTCCTGGCTCAAAAATTTATCAGATAGGCATTCGTGGTTCTCTCGTACGGCTCCGTAAAATTTTTAGGCGGAAAAATGCTAACTCGGAAAATTAGAAAGCTGGGAGCTGAAATTTTAAGGGTGTGTTCCCAGCCCTCGTAAAAGTTAAAGATATCAAACTCATAAACGAACCCTGGAATTTTTTGGCAGAAAAATTGTTAACTCTAGAACGGAAGAAGTTGGAAAGCTGAAATTTTAGCGGAATGCTCCCTGTCCAAGTACCGCATAGACAATTAACTTTCCGAACATTGAGGATCAGTATGTCGCAAATCCTAGCTACCATGCTTTTGAGCGGTCTCATCACAGCACGAAATGCTGCAAAAACGCATGATATCTCACGGGCCCACCTGGCGCGCGTCGCCAAAGATTTTTAAATAGAGGCGTGAACCAGGATAGCCATGAGCAGCCAGGCGTTTTACGCAGTTTCGTTCAGCAGACATTTGCTGTTAAAAACCTTCACTGCTTTACTAATTTTCAAGTACCGATACGGCAAATTTGAGGGTGCGTTTTGCCGACAATATCTTTATGCAAAATTTATGATAATTGTTAAAATTTTTCGCAGCTGCACAATGCACCATTTCGCCCTAGCTGACACTTTTTTCTCCTTGTCCTAGAAAAGAACAAAACATTGCCAACACGAGTGCATATGTTAAACACTAAAGCAACAATCAGTAATGTTAAAGATATCATTGTCTCAGATTCAGCGCAAATATTGGAAGCCTGATGCGCTTGCTACCTGGGTTATTTTAAAAAAGGCATATATAAGTAGACCCTGTGATGCACCGCTCTCCCAGCTTTCCATTCCATAACACAGAAGTAGAGGGCATCTAGCATTTTAATATAATTTTATATATACATATTTCTTTATATTCTTCCCTTATATATTTCTTTTGAATATGTATATATATATACATATATATATATATATATATATATATACATATATACACAT